AAAATTAAAAACTGCTTTTATTCTAGCCAAAATAAAACAAAATAAACTTTTTCCAGAAGAAAAAATATTATCAGACATACTGTGAAAATTTCCTTGCTCTGTTATACATGGTTTGGAAAATATTTTAAAAAGATGAAAAAAGGGGGCTAATAATTCTGACTTCAACTGTATGTATGTATGTATGTATGTATGTATGTATGTATGTATGTGTATATATATATATATGACTGTCACTTTAAATTCAAATGAGACTGTTGTTTTCAAAAGAGGGTGGAGCTACAAATGCCTATGTATCAGCATAGTGGCAGATTCAACACTAACAAGCTCTTAACGGCTGACGGCTGCTTCTTACTCAGGACTGTCTATGCTAATGAGGGAGAGATGGTCACTAGTGGGTGGGGCTTTTTCACTCTGATGGCATGTACAAAAGGAGAACGCCAATCAAAGTGTTACTGCAGACTGTTTTTATCAAGTCTGATTATACAAAAATGAAATACATTTTCACCATTAGAGCCTGGTTATATTCACACACTGTTACCACTCAACTGTTTAACCTCTTATATAATAGTTTCCCTGTAAGTCATTGTTAGGCCCACACGGAATCTGCGCGCGCAGAATTCCGCAGATTTCTGCAGATTTTTAGCCCATCATTAATTCTGTTTATTTACTTGAGTAAATGTGTGTAAATCTAAATTTATTCTGTTTTTATTCAGTAATTTATTATACTTTTTATTTCATATGTTAAGGTTTTAGTTATGATACTCCGCTGGATACTCCCAAAATAACTCAGCAGAAATCCACAGATTTTTACCGAAATTCTCAGCAGAAATAGCAAAGAACATCCGCAGATTCCGTCTGGCCCTGGTCATTGTTCACCATTATGCCTAGTTCAGACTGCGTGATTTTAGCCCCGATTTTGGCTCGCCGACAGGTTTTGAGAAATCGCCGACAAATGCCTGAAATCACAGGCAAATCGCTGCTCGTGCACGTGAGTGACAATCACGCAGTATGAACAATCAAAGACGCGATCTGAGAGAATCGCCGATGAGTCGCCGATGCCTGTGAGATATTTGGCGTGCTGAATATCTGGAGCTGTCGGCGATTCAAATCATGCCGTGTGAATTGAGTTTTGACTGAAAATAACATCAGCGATCGCCTACAGCCAATGAGAGAGCGGCTTTCACTTGTGTGTGCGTGTTTGTATACCTGCTGCAGGCCAGCGGGAGGCTGGGGGAAGTTAAAAGCGCTCTTTTTCGGTTTATTTGGACCCACGAAATGGAGGAAAAACTAGTGGAGGTTTGACAGGACTCAGGAGCACCCGTGTCTGTTTGACGTTTCATACAGAAAGAAATTAGTTTATTATTAATGTTGAGGAGAAATGGCTAATTCCCTTTAAACCCAGGTGAGCAAACATGTACATGTTCTACCCCATTAAAGGCTTCTCTCTCATTATGTAGTTAATAACAAAAGATATACTACGTGTTTTTGGCTGTGAGACGTAGTTTGGACGAAGTTGTCGGCGATTCTTCCTATAGTAAAGTCATGCAATGTGAATGTCCATGTCGCCGATCCATCTTGCAGTGTAAACAAAGCAGCGATGAAACGCTAGCGCAGATAATCATGCAGTGTGAAAACATCTGTGACACGACGACTTTGAAAATCCTGCAGTCTGAACTCGGCATTTAGTTCATGTTAACTAATGCATTAATTATCTTACGCCAATTCAAAACTTTTTGATCAGTGACTAACTTGTATTTTATTCGATCTCATTCATACATTCTAGTACAATTTGCTTATCGGTATTTAGTACAACCAGCTCACACTGTTCAGCTTAAAGTGCAATTTAAAGGCTTACTAGGTTAATTAGTTTACCTACTGTAGGTTAATTAGGCAAGTCATTGGACAACAGTGGTTTGTTCTGTAAACCAGCTATTTCCAACCCTGTACCTGGAGGCACATAAACAGTGCATATTTTGCCATTAACTTTAGGTTTTGGAGTTTTTTTACCATATGATGGGTTGATTCAGGTGTGTTTGATTAATAATAATAATAATATTCATAAAAAATATTTATTTAAAACACGCTTTTCTTAGAAATTAGCTTACAAAAAAAAAAAGGGAGAAGGTGGGAAATGTGTACTGTTGGTGTGGCTTTAGGAACAGGGTTGGGAACTGCTGTAGACGAGAAAAATAATAATTTCTTACAGGAGACAATAATGCTGATATAAAATTCATCCAAACTAAAATAAATAAGACTAATAATAGTCGTATTACAAAAAGACAAATAATAAAATAATTAAGAACAAAATATTATAGAAAATGTTCTTACTTTATTAAACCTCACTTGCAAAATATTCTAAATATATTTCAATTTCACAGGAAAGCTATTAATTATATCAAATATAATTTAACACTTGGATTATTAATAATGTTTTATGCAATTATTGACTTTTTGCCTTTATTTTTATTGTTATTATTATCATCAGTAATGTCACGAATAAAAGAATGTTCAGGGGGATCCAAGTGCGAGTTTAACAAAAATAATATTTATTGACACAGTCAAACAAAAAGCAAGTAATAAATGTGGTGCTAGTGCTAGGAGAGATCGGGCAGGAATCAGACAGGAAACAGGGTCCAGAAATTAGTCCTTAGATCCTAAGCACACAGACAGAACAGCACACCATAAGCACACCTAACGAACTGACAAAGACACACAGAAAACGTGGCCCATATATAGGCCCGAATATGAGCCTCAGCTGGCGGGCTCATCAAGCCAGCAGAGTGCCGTCATCACACGTGATCAAAACAGATACACGTGGAGAACAAAAACAAACCAACATGATCAAACAGACGCTCAGGAAGAGCGCACAAACCTGCAACCGTGACAAGTAAATTACAGTATATTTATGTTTGCATTATACTATACATTATGCTTTCTGGAGATCTTAAAAAACACATATGGATCGACCACACTGTAAAAAAAAAAGTGTTTGTCTTAAGTTTTGAAGATGATCAAGACAATACGATTAGATGATTAAATTAAGCTTGCATGCAATTTTAACTTGAAAATTACTTAAAAAGAAATAAATGTCAATTTTTTTTTGTTTATAATGTTTTTTTAACTCGTTTGAATTTAAATGTATTATCTTTCTATTCATGAAAGGTGTTTGGTGGCCAAACTGTTATTTTAATGAATAAAACTGTTTAATGAAACGTTTTTGTTTAAATGCTTTCAATTTTCAAAAGGGGGTGTTCTCGTTTATGCTGAGCACTGTATGTATACAGTTGAAGTCAAGATTATTCACCCTCCTGTGAATTTTTTTTCTTCTTGGCTTTTTTTAATATTTCCCTAATGATGTTTAACAGAGCAAGCTTTTTTTTTTTTTTTTACAGTATTTCCTATAATATTTTTTCTTCTGAAGAAAGTCTTTTATTATTAAAACCATTTAAAGGTAAACATTATTAGCCCCCTTGAACAATATTTTATGTGATAGTCTACAGAACAAACCATCATTATACAATAACTTGTCTAATTACCCTAGCCTGGCTAGTTAACATAATTAACCTAGTTAAGCCTTTAAATGTCACTTTAAGCTGAATAGTATCCTAAAAACTCAACTATGTAGTCTCCACTTCACTTCCTAATCTGCAATTGCCTCTCTGAATATACCACTAACTGTACCCAAAAAAATAAAAAAATAAATAATTAAATAAATTACTAATACTTTCCTTCTTAGACTTTACAGACCTGAAACTTGCCTACAGCACTTATTCATTGTTGCTCTTATAGTTGTGTAAATTGCTTCCTTGTCCTCATTTGTAAGTCGCTTTGGATTTGGAAATGACTAAATGTAAATGTAAAAAAATATCTAGTCAAAAATCATGTGCTGTCATCTTGACAAAGATAAAATAAATCAGTTAAATGAGTTTATAAACCATTATGATTAAAAATGTGTTAATAAAAAAATCTTACAAAAAAAAATACAGGAGGGCTAATAATTCTGACTTCAGCCGTATATATATGAGTTCCTTAGTGGCCCCCACTAGTGCCGATATAAAGCCACATCGCACTGCTACTAGTGTTATATTGCGTTTATACAACAGTTTAATGACATAATCGTGTGAGACGGAGTCTCGAAAACCCTTTTGTAAGAGGAACTACTTTTCTTCCATCACTCATTCACATCTGCAGCTGACATCAGAACAGTAGAAACTGTTGCTACTTCTCCAGTGTCACTTTAGAGCTAGTGTTTGAATGATTCTCTAGCGTAATGTCTTAAGTGATGACAAAACAGGCAATTTCTGCTCACATTTTAAGATTATAAGGCTGAACAGCATTAAATGCCTTCAGTCTACAGAGATTTCCCACTATTTCTCTGTTGCAATCAGGAAATCACAATAACTAACCCCGAAAAAGCCAGAGCAAAGCAAACACTAGCAGTTTCTGTGGTATAAATACAGCACTGCAACATACAAAAGAGAGAGCTCAGCTTAGAATGCCACTTACCTGTTTAATAATCATTTGTTTAGCTCTAGTTTGAAACTTACACTGAGAAAATGCTGCTTTTCTCCCCTAGGGACTTATTTAGCAGTCTCTGTCGCCATCTTGTGGCGAAACATCAACCGTCACTTTTTTTGGCCTGCTCAGACAGGCTGACGGCGGCCAATGCACTGAATCCAATGCTCTGAAATGATAAATATTTAAAATAGGCCCTCTCCTTATAAATAATCTGCATAGTTTCAGTCTAAACAACTATTCTTGCCTAAAAAGCCTCAAAAGAACATTATGTTGTCCAACCGCTGAAATATTTGTAAACTGTAAAGTGTCCTCTGCTTGCCACTGTATGTGAGCGGAGTAATACACAAAGGTGAAGAGGCTGCACGAGTGCTGTTATTTGCAGAATATTGCACAGCTATCAGCCAATCAGATTCAAGAACCAGACAGAACTGTTGTATAAATATATATAGTCTTCAAATATTCTTCTCTCTTCCATCTTCCAGGCCAATCTCGCTCTGTCTCCAACCGTCCTGCTCTCTCCACCCAAAAGCCCAGAGTCCAAACAGCCGCCCTCTGCGTCCATCAGCCCGTGCAGTGTCGTGAGCTCCACCCTGCAGACCCCTCAGCTGTCCTGCGAAGATGAAGCGCCGGTCAGCTTCGAGCAGCCGGTGGAGGGCACACCACTGCCCAGCATCAACAAGGTCACACACACTCACATATCAACACTGCATACAATGCTAAAGGACAAAAACACACACACACTTTAGAGACACAACATGATTTTTGGTCACACTTTATTTTAATGCACAATTCATGCTATAAACAAACCATTAACTAAGGTTATAGCTAGTTAATAACTATAACTAAGGTAATTTAGCTCAATAAACTACTAATAAGCTGCTTATTAATAGTAAGGTATTAGTTGGGTTTAGGTTTGGGTATTGGGTAGGACACAGGATGTAAAATAAGATCATATTTTATAAACAATGATAAACAGCTATCTTCTTTGAAGGGTTTACAAGGTCACACAGACTCGCATATCAACACTGCATCTCACTTTACACTGCAAAAGAAGAAGAAAAAAACACTTTAGAGACATAATACGTCAATGTTTTTATTTTAATGTACAATTCATGCTATAAACAAACCATTAACTAAGGCTTTTAGCTCAATAAACTACTAAATAGCTGCTTATAAATAGTAAGGTATTAGTTGGGTTTAGGTTTGGGTATTGGGTAGGACACAGGATGTAAAATAAGATCATATTTTATAAACAATGACAAACAGCTATCTTCTTTGAAGGGTTTACAAGGTCACACAGACTCGCATATCAACACTGCATCTCACTTTACACTGCAAACGAAGAAGAAAACACTTTAGAGACATAATACGTCAATGTTTTTATTTTAATGTGCAATTCATGCTAATAGCTAATCGTTAACTTTGATTTTTAGCTCAATAAACTACTAATTAGCTGCTTAATAATAGTAAGGTTTAGGTTTGGGTATTGAGTAGGACTAGGGATGTAAAATAAGAATACAAGGTCACACAGACTCACATATCAACGCGGCAAAAGAGGAAAAGAGCCCTTTAGAGACACAATATTTTAGATTTTTTTGGTCACACTTTATTTTAATGTACAATTCATGCTATAAGCAACCCCTTAACTAAGTCTTTTATCTCAATAAACTGCTAATTAGCTGCTTATTAATAGTTAATAAGGTTTAGGTTAGGGTATTGGGTTGGACTAGGAATGTAAAATAAGATCTTAATTACAGGCAAGTAATAAGCCAGTAAAAAGGCTGTGAATTGTTAATTAAAATAACATTATTTGCCCTATTTGGCAGATAATTTTGCTTGTTTTAAGGAAAAACTCTCTGGATTTTGACATAATATTTATAAAATATGTTTTACTTGTCTAGTAAAATCTTTTTGATTCATTTACATTTTTCGATTTTTGGACTAGAAACAAGACAAAAACTCTTAGGTAAGAGTGTATATTTTTAATTTTTTAAATATTTTTTTCTCAAATATTTCCCAAATTCTGTTTAACAGATTCAGGAGTTTTTTTTTTTACAGTGTGTCTGATAATATTTTTTTCTTCTGGAGAAAGTCTTATTTGTTTTATTTCAGCTAGAATGAAAGCAGTTTTTGTGTTTTTTAAAAAAAAAATTAAGGTTATGCAAGAAACATCTTATGGATGCATTTGGGACACATCATCAGCGATGTATCCTGGGATCATTGAGTGTTTCGGGTCTCTCAACATCATATCCAGCGACGAGATGATCCCAAGGATTCCATATCCGGGACCAGGCCATATCCTGAGCTGCTGCTGCGCTGATGGTTGTGGGGAGTGGAGAACATGAGTCTGATTCCAGCGACGCTCCAGGGACAGACGAGTCTTCGCTGAGGCCATCTTCCTGCCTCCACCACGGCGAATGAAGCTCTGCACAAGACTTTTGGCCAGCAGAGAAATTAAAATGGTTGTGCCCAACTGAGTCTGGTTCCCTCAAGGTTTTTTTTCTTCACTCCCATCAGGTGAAGTTTTTTTTCCCTCTCCGCTGTCGCCACTGCCTCGCATGGTTCAGGATTGGTAGAGCTACGCATCGATGAATTTGCTCTTCAGTGTTTGAACTCTCAGTAATGATTAAATCACACTGAACTGAGCTAAACTGAACTGAACTGAACTTAAACACTAAAACCTGAACCACACTGTTCCAGTCACTATGACCATTTATGTGAAGCTGCTTTGACACAATCTACATTGTAAAAGCGCTATACAAATAAAGCTGAATTGACTTGAATACACTCTCACCCAGGTGACCCAGCCGGGGTTGATCAAGTCCCGACTTGTGTCCCAACAGCAGTCCACGGATCTGCCCTCTTAATCCACAGCCACCTTGTTGCCTTCTCTGCGGCTTCGCTTGCGGATCGAATGGCCCTTTTCTTCGCCACGCCTGTAATGCCCAAACGACTGAGGACTTTGCAAAGTGAACGCCCTGCAAAGCCTCTGCATCCGATTTCTATGGGCTCATTGAAAGTTCTCCAGCCTCTCTCCCTGCACTCCTCCACTAATTCCTGGTACTTAGCGCGCTTCCTCTCATTTGCTTCTTCAATACGCTCTTCCCACGGCACTGTAAGCTCCAGAATAATTAGCTGTCTTGATATTATATTCAATATTATTATCAATATTATTATCCCCCTTAAACAATATTTGTTTTGGATTGTTTACAGAACAAACCAAACGACTTGCCTAATTACCCTAACTTTACCTTAATTAACCTAGTTAAGCTTTTAAATATCACTTTAAGCTGAATACTAGCGTCTTGAAAAATATCTAGTCAAAGATTATGTGCTGTTATCATGGCAAAGATAAAAGAAATCAGTTATTAGAGATGAGTTATTAAAATGCGCTGAAAAAATCTCACCGTTAAACAGAAATTGGGTGAAAAAAATATTTAGGGGGGCTAATAATTCTGACTTCAACTGTATATTTGTTCAGTGTGTACCATTTTAAAAGGGAAACTCATCTAGAATTCACACCACTGTGTAATATTACATGAATTCCAAACACACACTATAACAGATTCAAGGACTGGGTTGAAAAGCATTTAATTGAAGAATGTGAGCAGCAAAACATGATCTCCTGAAAGTTCAGCAGTGTCCTTCCGCAGGCTTGCAGATTGCGTGCGAATCTGTGAAGTGTGCAGAACAGGATCTGATGATTTCAGCATGAAGGCGCGGGCAGTATTGTGGGCTTAAGCTCTGTGTAAGCCTATAGAGTCTGCCCAGGCACAGAACAACAGGGGGTTTGCACACTGTAATCCAATCAGGCCACTTCTGCATCGCACCCTCCGTAACCTCTTTAAAGCAGCGTTCTTTTGTCTTTTATCTAGTCCAAATATCTCGAAATCCTTAAATCAAGATGCATTTTCTGGACAAGCAAAAAATATGGTCAAAAATTGAGTCCGATTTTCTTTAAAACAAGCAAAATAATCTTGTTTTCACTTTGAAGTAAGAATATTTTGCGTGTTTTAAGGAAAAACTCAGTTGCTGAAAACTAGACAATATGCTTTGCTTCTTGACATAATACCATTTTCGATATTTGGGATAAAGATCATTACTTTGCAGTGTATATTCTGCACACAGCCTATGTTAAAAGGTTTACTTTGAGCCCAGGTTTAGCGTAAAACTGCTAAATCCTCTGTTTGTTGTACATCCTTAAAATCAACTAGAATCCAATTGTCATTTGTTCTGTCAGCAAACCTAATCTGTCCATTTAGATGACATTTTAGAGCATTCCCAATATGCAGATAAAAGCTAGGCAGCATCGCCCAGCATGCAGTAAAAATCCAACAGACGTCTGAGACATTTTGGCTAAAAATTGGGGCTGTCAGTGGAAATCTTGCAGACGTCTACCAATAGTCCTCTGACTTGGCAGATTTCACATGTAGTCATTCATTTGTTTCTAGCACAGATCCATCCTGCCTTGTAGCAACGGTTCAGGCTGGTGGTGGTGGTGTAATGGTGTGGGGGATATTTTCTTGGCAAACTTTGGGCTCATTAGTACCAATTGAGCATGGTGTCAGCACCACAGCCTACCTGGGTATTGTTGCTGATCATGTCCATCTCTTGATGATCACAGTGTACACATCTTCTGATGGCTACTTCCAGCAGGATAACGCACCATGTCATAAAGCGTGAATCATCTCAGACTGATTTCTTGAACATGAAAATGAGTTCACTGCACTCAAATGGCCTCCACAGTCACCTGTTCTAAATCCAATAGAGCACATTTGGTATGTGGTGCAATGGGAGAGTGTCATCATGAATGTGCAGCCGACAAATCTGCAGCAACTGTGTGATGCTATCATGTCAATATGGAGCAAAATCTCTGAGGAATATTTCCAGTACATATATATAGGTATATATATATAGGTGGGCATAGATTAATTTTTATAATCTAGATTAATCTCACTGTAATCTTGGAATTGATCTAGTATAATCTAAATTAAAATGGCTCATTTGAATTCTGCTGAAGTAATGACTACCCAAATAATGACTAAAAGTAAGTCTTTGAGAACGAGTTTCTCAAGCCAGGTGTCGCATTAGACCAGGGGCTCATCTCCCGTTTCCAATATGCCTCACAAACTGCTTGAGAAACTGTTTTGCTATGATAATTGGTGTGAAAATAAATGATGTTCAGTAAGATGTACTTGTGTTCAGGCCCGGATTGGCTAATCCGTTTTTTGGCCGCGAGGGCCGGTGTCCCTAGCTCCAGAATCTGTTGTTTACAGCAGTCACACTTTTTAAATTCATGTATTTATTTACTTGACCACAGTCTTCTTATTCAATATTTTACCGCAGCTCTGCTCTTTTTATCTATTTTCTCGCAGCCTCGTGATCAAGATGCCGCCTGCAAGTTGATTATCATGATTATCATGTTGTGGTCGAGTGGTTAGCATGTTAGGTTTTGAAACCACCAAACCGGGTTTGATCCTCGTCTGAGTAATTTATTTTTTTTTTCATTTTTATTGTAAAGACATAATACTGTAAGGGTTGTTGAACATTTGAAGTTCTAAAGCAGCTGTTTTCTCAAAAAAGACGTGATAGTTTAAATAGAAACTGAATTGGAAATGACCTTATTTCAATATAGTCAGTGGTGAACTGAGGTGGGCCGGTTTGAGGCTTGAAACTCCAGGGCTGAAAAGGAGTCCCACTCCGGCCCTGCTTGTGTTTACTAACTGGTTATTCAGCTAAACATGAATGTTAAACTTTAGGCCTACATAATCTCCAAACAGCCATTTTTGATCACTTTAATCCGACTAAAGTCATAACTGAACTAAACAGAAATGGAATTAAGACATGTGGAGTATGCAGATATTAGTGGCATTATTGAAGTACAGACCACGATCAAACTATTACCGTCATGTAGGACTTTCGCCATATTTTCCGACAAGATCCACACACACGGCTGTCAGTAAAGGGCCGCACACACACACACACACACACACACATCGCGAATGCGGACGTTGTTTTCTTTCTACTTGGCGTGCGTTATTAAATTCCATAACATTCTCACCAGTCCTTACTCCTTATTTTTGTCTAATACCCCAGTTTGTCACGGGGGCATGAATAAAATGTTAATCAGTGACGGTGAAACTGCCGAACTGCAGTTAAAGCCACCCAAAATTACAGGAATCTCTTACATGAAAGCACTTCACATAAACACCTTCATTATATTATTGTCTATTAAGGCAAATAACTAGATTACAGATGTCCATGTAAGCGTAGTCAGTATTGTCTTTGAAGTAAGTGAAAGATCCTGAAGGGCATCCTGCTGATTTGATTCAGAAGGGCACCTTTTTGTCAGACGGCTCACCGGTTTGACTTTCATTCACCATCATTCATTTTAAAAAGCACCCGCTTCATTTTATTAGTTTATGTTTTTAATAATTTTTGTAAAAAAAAAAAAAAAAAAAAAAAAATTAATTGTAAAAAAAAAGGAAATAATGAAGACAAACTAAAAAAAATCTACATTTTTCCTAAATTTCACTTGAATTTTATTTATTATAATTTATTATCTTTTTTTATTCGTGAAGATGTTTGATGACCAAAATTTTTTTTTCCAAATGCATCAATATATATGACCTACATTCACTGACAAATAGATAAAAATATTCATTTTCAAAAAGGGGGTGTACTCCTTTAAGCAGAGCATATATATATATATATATATATATATATATATATATATATATATATTAGGGATGGGAAGATTAACCGATATGTATCGATACGCGGTCATGCGCGTGCACGATGCGAGTGCATCGGTTGAGCAGCAGAGGATGAATGAAATTTTGGAAGCAAATCGAGATGCATCGGTTTTTGCGAGATGCATCGATTTTTCCGAGATACAGCTTTTATTTTTAATATAGAATGTATTTTTTATTTATTAACAAGTGTTGTCAACCTGTTTTTGGCGCATAATTTAATCGACCTACATAAAGTAAGCCTTAGCAACGGATTTGCGGATGTGTACACTCACACTACAACTCAGTGTATCAGGTGTGCGGATGAAGCTAGTGGAGCGCCCTCAGAAAGCGCGAGAAGCAAAACAAACATTTTATTCCCCACTGAGTTTTAAATCTAAAGTATGGCAAGCAACATTATGGATTTAAGAATGGACGACATGGCAGGACAGATGCAATTTGCAAAATGTGCCGCGCATCTGTAAAATACGCGGGCAGTATGACTAATCTGATATCTCACTTGAAGCGGCGCCACGGTGTTGTTGTGAAAGCATCTTCCAGTGTTTCTGCATCCCCGGCTTTCGCACTGCTTCAACCAGCTCCAAAAGTGGTGAGAAAAGCATTGAAAGTTTTTTTTTCCATGCGCAACAGTTCTGCTCGCTCTACGCCAATAACGAATGCTATTGCATTGTTCATCTGCAAAGATATTCAGCCTAGTGTCACGGAGAACGAATGTTTTAAACACCTCCTCCTGTTAATTTTTATTTAATAATAATATTAATAATAATAATGATAAAAATAATTGGGTGTCACGGTGGCACAGTGGGTAGTTTGATCACCTCACAGCAAGAAGATTGCTGGTTTGTTATATTTTTATTAGCCTGTTGTTTACAGTGACAGTGATGTTTCAACGCAGCATAACACTGCTAGTTCACGACCTTAAGTTTTGAATAATCAGTGGCAAAATATATCTTTGTAAAACTTGTTTTCATAGTTGAAAAGTTAAATCACAATTCTTGTTGTGCAATGCTAAATTTATTTATGTTGAAAGAGTGCAAATATATATATATATTTTAATATATATTGCACTTATACATTCTGTTTATCTTGAAAATACTTAAATAATATGTGCTATATGTTCTAAAATGGCCCTCTACTGTAAACTGACACTCTGGCTCTGAGAGAAAAGCCAGTTTGTAAAAAAGTCTTGGTTTTGCTTGGTTTATAAATAATCAAACTCATTCAATGGCACAGCATCCTCTTTCACATCATCTCATAAACTTGATCTAATTAGTGCTGAAATATCGCATCGTATCGTGATATGGGTGTGAATCGTATCGTGTTGCATCGCAATATGTCACAAATGTATCGCTAATATATCGGATCGTATTCTTTGTATCGAGATGCGTATCGGATCGGCATTATAGCTTAGATGCCCAACCCTAATATATATATATATATATATATATAGGGAATTACAGTCTGTATTCAACTTGTATAAACTCAGCTTTGCCCGGTCTGATTTGTTTATTAGTGTTTCTGTATTTTCTCCACAGAGTCGAGCCAGACTGTCGTTCAAGCGCCGGCTGCCCACACGCCTGCACAGGAAATCAGCAAGCGAAGAAGCCAAAGTGCAAGAGGACAACAATTCTCAACGCGAAACCGAAAACCCACAGCAGAATGGAGAAGATCTGATCTGTGGGCGTCTGCAGGAGGACAACGAAGAAAAAGCAAACACTGCTGACTCTGCTCGAACCAGCACAGAGGACAGACAAAAGCAAGAAGGCCAAGAAACAAATGCAGGAGACCAGGAGGAGTGTGAAGCTTCTGACTGTAAACCAGAACAAGAAAAAGAAGAGAGAGAAGAGACGGAGGAGGACAGGACAGAAGTGAAAGAGGACACGGCGGAGAAAGAGACAGAGTAGATGAAATAGGTTGAAGGTCATCAAATGTGGAGCGCTTTTGGTTTTTTGCTTTAATATACTCAACCCGGGCTCATTGTGGGATTGTAGTCCCGCGGACGTTTCTGGAGACTGCGGAATACGTCCCGGCGGGTACGTACGGCTGCAGTTTTTGTTTTCGCGAATCCACGAGAGGCCGCTGTTGTGCGCTTTTTCGCATCTCAGACGCCTCTCGCGAGTGCGGTTCGCGCCCGCGCTGTTCTCGCGTGAACCCACCAGAGGCCGCTGTCCGACTGACCGGATAATTGACTACGCGACCGCCCAATCGGCCGACCCGCCCTCCTCCTTCTCTGAACCCAACCAATTTTACCGATCGACCCGCCTGCCCGCTCGCTTCCCTAAACCCGAGCAACAGTTTACAAAAGCCGTCCAAAAAAATAAAAGCCCTGATTATTTTTTTCTACCGTGTTTTCAGATTTCACCGCGTCCTCACCCTGTCACGAAACTCGTTCACTTCATTTTTGGGATTCTGTTTTTGTCTTACCTGATTGCTGTAACTGCTCTTCCCCGGACTCGAAACCGGTCGCCGTCGTCGACTCCTCTCTGCATCTCGAGCCTGCCGACGTACACGGTGAGCTGAGTGGACAAACGGGTTGCAGTGGGGAAGCCCTCCACAAGGAGGTAAGGCAACCGTGAAAGGGAACAGCGTCACACCGCCCCGCAGCGTTCGCTTGAAAAAAATAAACGCGGCCGTACGTACCTCCCGGGACGTATTCCGCTGTCTCCAGAAACGTCCGCGTGACTACATTTTCAGAATGAGCTTGGGTTGAATATACTCCAAGTGCTGCTTTAGACAGTAGTGATACTGACAGACTTCTGTTTAATTATCAGAGATAATAATTCACATTTAGGTGGACTTGCAGAGACCTGACAAAAATATCCGTAAATAAGCGGTTTTGCATATTTTGTGATTCATGTTTTAGTTTTTATTTAAAAACAGGCTCTTTGAAAGAGACAGAATGTTTGGGTGCTTTCACACCTGCCTTATTTAGTTGGATTGAATCGCACTAGAGTTCGTTTCCCCTTTTGGTGCGGTTCGTTTGGGCAGGTGTGAATGCAGACGTCGTATTCTTGTGTGCACCAAAAGCGGACCAAAAAAGCGTACCGAGACCTGCTTGAAGAGGTGGTCTCGGTACGCTTTCAAACGAGAAAAATGAGAAAATGAGCCGAACTAAAACAGACCCAAACACAAAAAGTACTGCGCCTTTTGGACTAATCCAGCTGTCGTAGGCTGATGCGCTGTGCATTATGGGATATGGAGGAAAAATATTTGATGATAGCGCTTTACCAATAGAGAGAGAGAGAGAGAGAGAGAGAGAGGGAGAGAGGGGAAAACATTACCTGATGGATCATTGGTAATATTTCCGCAAGTTGACCATGTCGCAGTTTAGCTAAATTAATTCACGCCTCCTCCTGAAGTGACGTGAGATGCATTAAAACATTGTTTTCCAGCCGCGGCCATGCTTCATTCTCGTAATGTATAGTTTGCCTAAAGCAGGGATACTGCTTTAGAAAAGAAAATGAATGAATAAATGATGAACTAACAATATATGTATATGTATGTATGTATATATATATATATATATATATATATATATATATATATATATATATATATATATATATATATATATATATATATATATATATATATATATATATATAGATGATCAATTTCAGCGTTATGGATGTGCCATTTGCGGTAAAATCTCAAAACATAAATTGACAGAGGAGGTATATCTTAACATTATATTTAAACATCTGTTTATATTTTCAAAACAACTAGCCACAGAGATGTGGGAGCAGAAACATCAATCTGGAGACTTTTTTTTATTGTTAAGGAGGAAAATAAACATGCATTATGGATGTGATAAAAGAAGTCTGCAAGTTTACAGTACACAACATACTTTGTAAAAATTCTGTGAATTAAACTGCATAACCTTAAAGAAACAATGATAATCAAAAGAAGAAGACTTAGATCACTATTGAACAAATGTGATTGATTTTATTTGATTTTACATTTTTGCATTTATGAGGAAAAAGCTTCGTTATGGATGTGACATTTCTCCGATAAGGATGTGACGGATGTGAAAATGCTTCTTGTTTGACTTTGGTAAATCAAATATAACTGTTTGAAGACACTGACAGGGACATTTTTTAGTTTTTTTTAAAGCACTTTAAAATACAAACCTACACAAAAAAACGCAGAAACAGTTTTGCTATTTTGGCGAAAATAATTTTTTTTTTTTTCATGGCAAGGTTGACATTTGCATGGAATTGCTCATTATATATATATATATATATATATATATATATATATATATATATATATATATATATATATATAT